AATTATGGAAAGCCCCCTCTAATTCAGACTATAGAAAGGGGGGTTGGGTGGGGTGGGGTGGGGTGGGGGGGGACCATGTTTAGTTGAAATATATGCCACAAATTCAGTGATTAATGACCTGGTCTAAGACCCATATTATATATATAAGTAAATGGTTCTTCCAACTTTTCCCAACAAAGCCATCATCATCATTATCTGCATTTAGGGACAGGACCACCTTAGTTTCTGCAAAACTCTAAATTATTGCAGTAAAAGTATTCACATTCAGCACAGAAAGAATTCATCAAAGACGCATGAATCTCTCTCTCTCTCTCTCTCTCTCTCTCTCTCTCTCTCTCTCTGATGCAGAAAATTGGGATGGGATTAGATCCTTTTGGTTCCCTAAATAGGCCAATAGCTAAAGCCGACATTTCTTATCAGATTGTTGTTGCATGTAACTTGTAAGCACTTTACATTGATGTGCCCATTCCACCTAATCAACACCACCACCACCCACAAGCAAGCAGAGTTAATTTCACCCACGTTAATTGCATGCCAATACTATTTTACTAGATGATTAGCATGTCATGTGATTAGTTGTTGTCTAATCAAACTTCAAACTAAACCTTGTCAATAATTATTTCCTCAAAAATCAAATATCTGTCAAATCTAACAAGTAACTTCGCATGCTCAATGCCCACTTGACAAACTCTAGCTTAATTAACTTGGAGATATCAAACATTAAGTGGGGAAGCCGGGGTGGGGGTGGGGTTTCTTTAATTACTATAATTAATTGTTTTGTATTTTGTTTTTGTGTTGTGCTCTATAATTTTTAACAATTTAGTTTTATTTTATAAATAAAATTAATGGCAAATTACAACCACCCCGGTGTATGGCTAAATTATGGAAAAAAAAAACCCAACTTGTTTGGATAATTACAGCTACCCCTTCCTTTTAAATATTTTTTCGTGAAATTTATGCAATTCGGTTATTTACCAAGCCAAATCCTATATTCAATTTGGTAAGCGGTATAAAATGTTGGCGTACCGAAATTTCGGTTCGATTTTACCGATTTAACGTCCCAAAATTTATCACTGGAGGGGTTTTTCGTAAGATAATACATAGTTGAGGGGTAGCTGTAATTACACAAACAAAATGGGATTTTTTGTATTTTAACTATACCTCAAGAGAGTGGCCCTAATTTGCCCTAAAATTAATTATTTTTAATTGAAGATAACAAAGAAAAATAATAAAAGAGAGTAACAAATTTGATAAGAAAGTTACAAATTGTGACTCAATGGAAAAAAAATTTCAAGTGTTGTTCGAGCTTTAATAATACCGTTATCACTTCAAACATAGAATTTGTAGTATTCTGAGTTAGTTTTCTAATCCAACTTGAATCACCAAAATTGGATGTAGTACGAGAAAGATACATGAATCAATGGATACTGTCCACAACTTTGATGTACTAAAGTATCTAAAATTCAAAATGAGACTCATTCATGCATAACTTTGTCACACGGCACCCAATCTAGCGGAATTAAGTTGGATTAGAAAACTAATCCAAAGGACTACAGTTTTCGTGCTTCGTATTTTGCCAAAATCAAAATAAAAGTATGTCAAAATCAGGTTCGAAGTCAAAACGACAATAGTAAAACTGAAACGACATTTAACATTTCAGTATTATTATACCTTTTATATTTATTTAGTCCTCCCAATTTTTCTAATTTAGTTCACCCAAAATTTAAATTAATTCAAAAAGAAAATCCTAAAAGTTTTGTTTTTTCCCTTTTTTTCTTTTCATATCTTCTGATTTTGTCAAAAGAAAAACAAAATCCTAATTTTTTCAAGGACTCTCTCCGGGAATCCCTGAAAATTCAAACACAGTCGTCATTCTTAAAACAATCATTGTTGTCACAATTCTTTTTACATTATCTTTTAATGTATATTCGGCCGATAAAATCCTAGCTACGGCAAACAATGTTTTTTTTGGTGAACATGTATAAAAAATGTGCATCATTGAACAATAATTAAAGTTGAAAATTGCAAGGGAACCAATGATTAGTAAATTCCAACAACTTGTGTTTAATTAGTATTATGCACATTCAACAAATGCAGAATAATGGAAAGACAATAATCTAAGGTTTTCCAAACAGCAAGGATTATGATAAACACTTTAGGCCCAAGATCTACAGACCACCTTCTGCCCAAGAAAGAAAAAATAGAGCGCGCAGTGGTCCAAAAAACGAAGCATAGCCCAAGAACTTGCTATCGGAACAAAGAAATCAGCTAAAAGGCATCTCTCCTGTACAGAGGTACATGCATGATAATTAAGATCGTTGATTCAGATCCAGACGTACCCAAGGTACCAGTCAAAGCAAGCCAACCACACATATTTTCTCCATAATTATTTTCATAACAGCGTCGAAAATGACAAAATTTAAGGTCCGACACTTGTTTTATAACAGTTGAATAATTAGAATTATTATTATGTAGAGTCTTAGTCATTTATCCACAAGATGTTGACATATCCCCACTCTAACAAGCCCTGCTGCAAATTTACGTTTATTTTTATCAATGGTGATGCAACAGATTTTATCCAAACTGAAAAGGATGCGGATAAAAACCACAAGCATATTCTTTCATCACAAGTAACAAGTATGAATTATTGAATAAACCAACTAGAAAAAAGGGTTGGTTCTTGAAATCAACCTATTTTCAGTGACTTAAAATTCAACTAAATTATACTCTTCAACACATTTATATCACTACTTATCAAAAAAAAAAACACATTTATATCACGCACATTAAATTTTTTATTTTATTAATAATGAAGGAACCCGCAGCCAACCATATATAGGTTGTGTTGTATGGATTGTAGTTCTAGTACAGTTTACAGTCGAATGGAACCAATTCAACTCATAAAGCATAAAACAACTTGGGCCAAACGGTTACAAAAACATAAGCACAACAAATGGCCCATCAAGCAAAATAACTATGACAAACAAGTAAGAAATAAAAGAATAGACAACCATTACCGATTCATAGGAACCACTGCAAAAATTGAAAAAGACTAATAAGATCAAAAACATGGATAATAAGAGAAAGCACAATAGTGATTTCTTAAGTGCTTCAGAAAATGTGACTTAACGAGGCATACATTTTGGCTTTAGAAAATAACAATCACGATAACAGAGTGTACGAGTTAAGGATTTGAGATCCAAAAGCTTCAATCAAAGTAATGTTTGTAATATATAAGGCACGTACTAATTCTTCTTGAACTCCTTTCATTTTCTTCATTAAAGTTTGAAGAACACTCTTCATTGCATTGGCATTCCGATTCCGTTCCATTTAAACAATTTGCTGTTGAAATTTCTTTCACAATCCAACACAGACAGAAAGTAACTCACTCATCCATAAACCATAATAAACAAAAGAATGGAAACTACAATCTTTTTACTTGCTTATCAGTTATCACTCTTCTTTTAGAAGCATGGTTATAAATATTAGGCAGTGCACTTCGATCTATTTGAACCCTAAATCACCATCAAATAGCATAATATTTATTAATTAAACTTAGAAATTGCCTTTTGCATAGAAATTCGATTGAAATGGTCCAACTGGTAGCAATTTCCGCAAAAATCGTGATTATCTGTGCCTTACGAGGATAAATCTTAACAGTTATATGAACATGATTATTGACAATAAAAAGGGCTCCCGGTAATATACTAGGCAATTAACTTTTTTAGTTAGCAAAGATTTCATATTTGCATGGTTCTCCATTCCAGTTCGATGAGTGTCCACATTGACTTGTATAAGCCTATATACAAGTATATAAGATATATAATTCGTAATGGTGATTTCCTTGCACCCGTAACCGGAACATTAGAAAACACTTTCACCAAGAGTCTATTCTAAGAATGCTTCCGGGATAACATCAGCAACACATAATTAAATCCACATGCACTAGAGAAAAATATAAATATTTCTATACACAATTCAAATATTTCTATTCAACTCATATAAAGAAATTTGATTAAATACTGAAAAAAAGGAAATACGAAATCAATGTCAGAAATTCAAATAAAGAAATTCGTGAACCTAGCAAAGAAACCGAAGGATGATTTTCTTTCAAATTCCCTCTGCTGCTACAAATTCTTTGGTATTCAAAATTGTCGACCAACCATAGTACTCTATCACACATCCATACTTGTCTTCAATTATTTGTTAACGTCTATTGCTCATATTAGTCTTTGTTATCGCTTTATCTATTGCCCAACCGATTGACGACACTACTACCAATGCCCATTTTTCTTTGTTCTTATTTTCTCACTCTAATAGTTTTTCCATAAGAGAATCAAGGAGGTAAAGTAAAGAAAATAGTATAATGTTCAAAATGTCAGAGTACCTAAGAAACATCTACGGTAATCGACTAATAGATGCCATATTTTCTTTTTGTATTCTATTGTTCAACAGTGTGATTTCTGATCGTGTAAATAGATAAAAAAGTGATCTTGTTCTTTCCTCTATTTACAGAAAAGGAGAACCATCTTACGATCTATAATCCGACAAAAGGAGACGTATAACTGTGGTTATATCAGAGTTTTACGGAAAAACGACGAGCAGACAAAATAACAAATACAATAGATAACCGGATGAGTCACACCAAACACGACAAGTCCGCACGATGACAGGAATGCAAGTGCAAAGATTGTTTCATAAGTAGAAACATATAAATTCAAATTTAAATTAACAGGATTAGCTATTGAATATCATCAAAAATTAATTTTGAATTGCATAAAGTTATGTATTACAAAATAGTAAACGAAAAGGACTAGTAAATCTTCTTAGGCCTCGATTGGTTGTAGCCAACATAAGATTAAATAATCTAATGAAACCTAGTAATATTAATGGACTTTCGATAATCCAATAAAAAGCATGCCTAGAAGGCAAGATAAGCCATGATAATATAATATTTGCTGGTTGAGCCGGCAATAATACCAAATATCAAACATAGTCCAATTATTTAGTTAATCATGGCTAATCTCCCCAACCAAACGAGGCCTTAATCAATTGAGCTCAGACCAAAACTGAAATGCAAGTGCAAATAAAAAGAACTTACATTTAAGGCGATGTCATCGAATAAACCACGAGCTCAAGTTGTGATAATTAAGAAGTCGAAAAACAAGCATCCCTTCAATCAAGCCCAAAATCCCACCGAAAACAACATCAAGCAAGAAATGCCGGCCGAGAAGCACTCTAGAAACCGACGTAACGAAAGCCCAAAGCCCCACAGCAACAGCAAAATACTCCACAACCACACTCTTTGCATACAAATTCAATACCTTGATAAGCAGAATTTCTCGAATATGATTCGAATAGAGGAAGCAAAATGTGGCGATGAACGAAACCCTAGAAGAGTGGCCACTAGGGAAAGACCAGTGGTCAACGGCAAATGAGAGAAACATGTTCTTGTTGTAAACAGGGCGTGGCCGTTGGATTAAGTGCTTGATTACCCCGATTAAGACGAGGTCTAATAGGGATCCGATTAGGAGGTTTAATAGGAGATTAGCGGTGGGGGTTAGGGTTGGGGTTGTGCTGGTTAGGGTGGCGACGCCGGGGGTTGTGGTGAGGAGAATTGAGAGGATGATTGGGAAGAAGAGGCGGCCATCGCCGGAGAGCTCTAGGGATTTGAGGAGAGAGAAAGGGAGGATGGGCTGAAAGAAGGTGTAGAGTTTGAGGGATACGGCGGTATCGAGGATGATCAGGCGGCGGAGGACGGTGGGAGGGATTGATTGCGGTGGTGCTTTTGATTCCATGATTTTTGGATTTGCCTCAGCCCACGACACCTGCTACCGTTCATGGCTTCTAATGGAAATTTTGTAATTTTATTATTCTTTTTTTTTTTTTTTTTTCCTTCTTGTACAAACATTAAATTTGAGGTTAAAGTGCCCTCGGTTATTCTCAAGGTATAATTTTTTTTTTCTTTATTGCGAAACATTACTACAATAATTTATAGGGTAATATGCTACATATATCTCTAGCAGCAACATAATTATACGACGAATCACGGGCGGATTCAGGAACTTTTTCTAGGGGCGTAAATTATTTTTAGCAAAATGCACAAGCATATAAAATAGAAAAAAGTATGTAATATAAGATAGGTAAAATATAACATTCCAAAAAATATTTTAACGGACATGTTCTAAAAAATAATGCAATTATTACAATTGTGCTTTACGGTGCTTCAATGAGTAAAACTCGTCTATTATTGAGTTCGAACTAACAGTATCAACAATTTCTCTCTCAGTATGTAGAATCATACAATCTCTGAGAAACTCATCGTTCATTATGTTCCGATGTCTAGTTTTCGTTAGCTTCATAATTGAAAAAGGCTTGTTCAGTCGTACCTGTAGAAACCGGAAGGAGTAAAATCAGACGAATCAACCTATCAACTAAGAAATATACGCTTGCTTTTTTCGTCGCTGTTAATCCTTCACATCGTGCTGTAAGAGTGGATAAATGACAAAAGTCTTCATGCTTAGTCATGTCCAGATGATAATGGTTCAACTGAAACTTCAAAAGCATTCTTTCTTGTTCCGTGAAGTCTGCTAGATAATATTTATCAACAAGAGTGCAAATATGATCTACTTTAAATGACTTGTATGAGTCACTCGGATCCAAAGCAGAGCTAAAAGTTAGGAGTTCCAACGTCTGTTCATTAAATCTGCAATTCAACTCTTTTAGTTGTGTGTCAATCGTATTCATAAAGATGTTAAAATGAAAATGATGTTCGATTGTGATATTAGTATCCCGTGATTGATGAATTGAATTTCCACGACCTACTTTGTAAGCAGAATTCATATCAGGCATCTCAACTTCATTACTTTCACAAAATGAATTAACATCCCTTAGAAAAGTATCCCATCCACTGTCTCTCAACTTCTTAAGCAGGTGCTTTGTTGTTGAGACTAAGTGCATAGCATTCAATATATCTTGGGACCTTTGTTCTAAAGCTTGACAAAGAACATAGGTAACTCCCATTATCTCTTTCATCAAAAGGAGGATAAAAATAAACTGAAAGGATGTTATGGTGGTATAAGCAGAATCGGCATCACCATGTTGGGAATAATTTGCTCCATCAGTTACAATGTTTTGTAGTACGGTTCTAGTTGCACTAAACATTTTTATCAAACTACAAACTGAAGAAAAATGAGAACCCCCAATGAGTATTTCCAGCTCGTTGCAAATTACCAATCTGATTAGTTCCACCACTAGTCCCACGTTCATCAATGGATATCAAACGAGAAATTTCAGCTTGTTGTGCAGCAATTAACTTTCCATTTTACTTACAAGAAGCACCCACAATATTAACAATCAAGTCCAACTTTGAGAAAACCTAATGAACAAGAATTACCTCTCTTGAAGCCGCAACTAATGCCAACTGAAGCCGATGGGCAAAACAATGCACGTAATATGCATATGGACAATCTTTTAAAAATAATGCTTGTAATCCATTCCATTCACCACGCATATTGCTTGCACCATAATAACCTAGCCCACTAAGGTTTTCGACGTTGAAAGCATGATGAGAAAAAAATATTAGAAAGCTCTTGTTTAAGAGTCAATGAACAAGTATTTTCCACACTTACGATATCAAAGAAACGTTCTTAGAGAAAACCCATCTTGTCTACAAATCTTAAAACAAGAGCCATTTGTTCTCTTTTGGACTCGTCTCGTGCTTCATCAACAAGAATACAAAATTTGGAATCACCAATATCTTATTGAATCTCCTCTCTCACTTTAGAAGCAATAACATGCAATATCTCCTTTTGTATTATTGGAGATATGTATTTTGCATTGGGAGGAGCTTTTTTTTAAAACAGTTGCAGCTACTTTATCATTATAACTTGCCAATAATTTCACCCTCTCACGAAAATTACCCAGATTCATTGATGTTGGCCCTTCTTCATGACCTCGAAAAGAACAAGATTGATATGCAAGCCCACGAACACAATCAATTGATGTTCTAAGCCTCAATCGATTATTCAATATTTGCTCCGATGACTGTCTTTGCATGACCTTGTCAATATGCCTAGATTGATTCATTAAATCCTCACATGATTTCATAGAGATAAAATGGGAGGATTTATGATTTCCGACATGACGTAAAAAGAAACACGTATCTCCATCATTTACCTTATTCCAATTGCCAAATCCTTCCACCGTGAATGCATTTGCACCAAAACGTGCTACATGCTTACTAGCAAAAAGATAGCACGGCAAACAATAAGCAACATGTTTGGTAGGTGAATACTCTAACCAAGAAGAGAATTAAGAAAACCAAGAATATTGGAATCGTCAACGAGTACTCTTCTCATTGCTTAATAAGGGTACATCGAAAAGAAAAAAATGATACGGCCCCAATTTGATATAAGCGCGCCGAATTTCATCTTGTTGATTTACAGAATATGTCCAAATCTGAGGTTGCTTCCCCGGATCACGTTCCAAAGAATTGCTTGTAAACTCTTGAATAGGTATAACTCTAATATCGGTAATAGAAGGTCTAACAAGTTCTTGTTCATCAACGAGAGAAGAACTACCAACATTAGATGATGACGATTCTTTATGACCACGTTTAAAATTTGAATCGATCGTATTATGTTTTGTAAGCTTGAGTGGAGGCTTTGACATCAGAGCAATAGTCAATAGAACCTACAATTCAAAGAATTAAAATATTTTACCATTTAGAATATAAAAATAAAAAACCCCTAATATACATATCAAATAACCCCTGAATAAAAGATTTCAAATATGTGATAGTCATGAAATTGATAAATTCAAATATCAAACAACCCCAAAATAAATTTCAATAAACCCATCAAATGTAAATATCAAAGAACCCCTAAACACGTATCATATAACATATAAGTAATCAAATATTTTTTATAAAACAAAATATTTAAAACCCTAACATTAACATACATCTCAAAAAGAGTAAGGGGAAAAATACATAAGAGAGAAGAAGGAAATTAATATTACTTGATAAAGAGAGGATGAATTTGAACTTTGAAGGTTTTTTTCCTTTGAGAAAGAAAAAGAATGGAGACTATGAGATGAGAAGAGGATATTTAGAACTCTCTGTTCGACGAGAGAAAATTCCATCTTTGTACTCTTGCAAAGAAGAAAGGAAATTTTGTCTAATATATTGACTTTTATGATTTTTTATTATATTTAACGCTCTGAAAAAGAGATAGAGGAAAAAAACAAATCTTTTTTCTATAACACCGTGTTACATTTTGTGGTGAGCCAATTCTCAAAAGAAATACAAAAAGTCTGGTGGGGCCAAGACTCTACATATAAAAAAAAAAGAAAAAAAACATTAAAAAATTAGTAGGATTTTTTATTTCGGAGGGACAGCTTCCCCCCTGCCCCTTCTTTCATCCGCCACTGCGTCGAATACAATCTTAATATTTTTTTTCTGAACAAAATCATTAAAAAAAAAAACTAATACTGAATGCAGTTTTTAAACTTGCAGGCACATTTTTTACCATTCTTCAAAAATCAAAAGTTCAAAATTTTCACAAACTCTCCCAAGCTTTTGGAGTTCTTTCTCAGATCTCGACCGAGAAGACAACAGGTCGGAGGTAATTTCTACATTTTTTGACTGTTTTGTTACGTAGATTACGATTTTTTATTTAAATAAATAACGTTTGTGGCAGTTCTCGCGTGATTCGACGCGAGCGCAGCGGAGTTACTCGTGTATAACCACGCGAGAAAATGAATGCTAAATATATTTTTTTTAATTGAACAAATGCGTAGTATTTGATTGAAAAAAATTCAAAATATCAGAGCTCGTATGTTCGTAGGGCGAACATGGGTATTGTTCGCGTCAAACCACGCGAGCTCGTTGCTCGTTTCACCGAGCTCGCCTACAAACACACAAGTAACAATTCATTTAATTAAATTTTTTATCTGAATATTTGGTTCTTGTGTGAAAACATGGGAGCAGGTACAATGTGCCCGCGTGCCTACACAAGAGCACAATAGATCTGCTCGCGTGTTTTCGCACGAGAACTTTAATTTTTTTTTTAGTTTAAAAAAACAATTAATTTTTTTTAAATACGAATTCATTTTTATGTTAAATTATAGATGGCCAGAGGTAGAGGGAAAAGTTTAATGAGTCAAGTTGCGGGAAAATATAAGAGTTTGATGATAGCTTTGGGTGGAAAGTCGAACAATCTGGATGATCCGGACCGTATTAGAGATCGGAGAGTTCTTGCATCCGATCGTAGAAGAAAAGCGACGGCAACATAAGATGCGAAGAGAGCGAGGGAAGAATCTATTGTAGTCGGAGCCAGACCTTGTGTACCTATTGCCGATGATCTTCAAATCGGTCATGTTCGTACTCCATTGCAGTAGACGATGATGATGATGACATGGTGGCTAATGATGATGGCAATGATGACGAAGAGATGGTGGATGATGATCATGATGGTGGTGAGTCGGTAAGTAGAGGTGGTCGTGGCGTAAATTTTCCACTTTTGGATGGTCTGCCGTATCTGGAGGGTCCGTGCGAGGGAAGGCTGGAAAATTTGAGGTTTATGCGTTAGTTCATGTCGCATATAACGATATATGTTTCGAACAGATATGTAAGTTTGTTTTTAATACGTGTTTATATATTTTTATAATAGGTGTTTTGGTTATCTAATATATGCAATTTAATTTAGGAACGTCGTGCTACTGGATGGATCGAGCCAAGAAATAGAGCACTGGAAACCTACCTCGGCCCGCAGGATGACACGATGATTAGCAAGTTGGAGGCAACTGGGCTTTACCATTTACGACACTGTTGACTCCCCAATTTGAATCAACAGCTAATGCCAGCGTTTGTCGAGAGGTGGCAGCTGGAGACGAACAACTTCCACATGTCGTGGGGAGAGATGACGATCACGCTCTACGACGTTGTTTTCATCATGGGGTTGCGAGTGGACGGACCGTTAGTTGCAGAAGTTTCCCAGTCATTAGAGTGCTCCCGAAGTCTTGCATCTCTATTCGGGCTCGGGGTGATGACTACGACTGACATGTTTCGAAACAAGGGAGTTAATTGGACAAATGTGCAAGAGCTCTTGAACAAGATATCTGCCACAGACAAGAAGATGCAAGGTTATCTGATTTTTCTATTGGGGCGGTTTTGTTTGTAAACGAAAAATCATCGAGACATTACGGCACTATACAGTTCATGGAGATAGTGGAGCCGTACAAGCCAGACAGTGTTTTGCGGCAATATGGTAGAGTCCAGACGATTCTGTTTTATATTATCGAATCTACTGAGTCGCACCACCGCGGTATTTATGCTAAGGGTTACAAGGTCAAACAGAACACCAACTTCATTAACTTATCGAACTACGAGGAAATGTGGCCTCCTGAAACAATTGATCCGAACTATATGAAGTAGTATGTGAAACTATGCACCGGTATTTGTGTAACCCCACAAGGGCGCCAGCTGTAGCTCAGCCCGTTGTATCCCCCCCCCCCCCCCGCCAGATCAGCCGTTTACCAACGATATAGTTCGTCTCCTATTTTCGATTGTGTACGGACAGACGGGGCCTAATGCGGCATCACGATTTATGGCAATAAAGCCACAGTTGCTTGATTTGATGATTCCCCATGCCTAGTATCTCCATCTCATACCAGGAGGGGTCCGGAGTGGGGGTGTGGAGGACTAGGGGTAGACAGTAGGATGGTTATGACTCTTGTAATATTATGACTATTGTTTTCCATTTTCATTTGTTTTGTATTAAGATTATGACACTTGAGTTTAGCAGTTTAATTATGTTGAAATATTACTCGGTTTTCTATTTTAATTGTGTTTCGTTATATGGTTTTGATTTTCGGTTTTCCATTTTGACTATTGAAAAATTACCTGGTTTAATATTATATTATTGAAAAATACTCGGTTTTCCATTTTGGTTGTGTTGAAATATTACATGGTTTTGTATTTTTTAATTATGTTGAAACCACACAATGAAATTAAAAAAATATATAGTTCTCGCGTAATTTTACGCAAACAAAGAACACGTGGTCGTGTAATTTTACGCAAGCAAACTCTCTCTGTTCCCGTAAAACTACGCGAGTAGAATTAATTTTTTTTTAGTTCCTTCCTCGCGTGGTTTCACGCGAAC